AACACCACCACCACCATTTCCTCCTATTACTCCTCCTCCTCCTCCTCCTCCTCCTCCTCCTCCTCGTTTCTTCTCCTCTCCTCTCGCTCTTGTCCTCCTCGTTTCTTCTCCTCTCCTCTCGCTCTTGTACCTCCACGCACACACACACGTCTCGGTAGCCTGCGCTCTCCTTGACGTCGTAGTTTGGGTCGAACCTGACAAGCATAGATTTAGCAGGGAGGACAGAGGAGGAGGAACGAAGAGAAGGAGGAGGATGATGATGTTGAGGAGGAACGAGGATGATGATGATGTTGATGTTGTTGTTGATGATGATGATGAGGAGGAGGAGGAGGGGAGTTTGTCCGACCTATTCTTGATGCTCGTGATGTTCATCAGCTTTTCTGGCCCAGCTTTCTGCGTGTCACGAGTGAGAAACAAGTCAGCCTCTGCTGACTTCACCTTCTCCTCCTCCTCCTCCTCCGGCAGCAGCTGAGTAGCGACTTCACTGTACACCTCGAGTCTCTCCAACCACTCGTTGAGGTCCGTGAGGGTCTTGACGATGATGGTGCAACGGACGAGGTCGGTGAGACAGGAGGCATCGCGGTCGTAGGACCTGACAGCCTTCTGGATCGCTCTCGAGCTAGTCTTGAGCGTCCCCGAGTAGTACTTTCCCACCTGGTTCCACTTCTTCATGAACAGCTGGAAGTGAGGGCTAACGAGCTGGGCCGCGTCATAGACTGACTGAATCTTGGTGGGGATCTGAAGGATCTTGCCTCGTGTCGAGAAGCGAGAGCGTCGTGACCCATTACAAGTCAATGTCATGCTCAACTTCCGTTGTTTCCTCGCCCTCGCAAACCCGGACTTGATCGCCCGGTTGATGGCCCGCGACTTGCTGGCGATGTCCAGCAGGACCTCCGAGTCTCGCTCGATGATCCTGTCCCAGGCCTGCTCGATCCTAGTCGTGTGCTTCAGGATGCCGTTGTACGCGTGCACGAGAGAGACGCGGTAGCGAACGATGATGAGCACAACGAGAGCGAACAGAGTCCCTCCGTACACTCGGAACATGATGACAGCCCAGAAAGGTGTGATGTGCCCCATGGTTGTGGTGTAGATGCAGTATCCTCCTTGCAGGATGTAGAGCACAACCCAGATGTACTTCTGTGCGAAGTAGGCACAGTACAGAGCAGTGAAGACGCAGAATGAGGCTGACAGACTCCAGTTCCCGTTGCAGGAGGCGCCGATGCCGTCGCCGACGAAGCGGCACTGGATGTAGTCGAGGCAACCTGAGAGAAAGTAGACGATGGCTCCAAACCAGACTACCCCGAAGATCACCATCTTGCCTCGCACCGCACTCACTCTCGATGCTGTGAAGATCCCGATGAAGATCCCAACAGCCCACGAGTAGTTCACGAGAGGGTCACACACGCGCGTCCATCGGAAGGTCTTGGGCTCATGAGGAACTTGCTTGTTTGGCTGAAAAAGCCACCTGTCCTCCGTGAAGAGTAAATGAAACTGATAGTACCCGTAAGTGCAGTAGAGGCCGCACAAGCCGAGCATAGCCGCCTGTGTCGGCAGCTTCAAGATCCCGGTCTCGATACAGTTGGTCGTCATCATGGCGAGGATCCCGTCGGCCTCCACGTCCTTGAACGTGAAGAATCGAGTCCGCAAGTCTTTCATCCTGTCGTCATTCTCCATCTGATCCCGGTTGGCTCTCAGTTTCTGTACACTCTCTTCTGCGGGAAAAGTGACGGGCAGAACGTCCGTGTCATAGACCCTGCACTTGCCAGCAATGAAGCATTCCTCCAGGAAGCCGCTTTTGAACACCTTGTCAAAAGGAGTCTTGAAAGGAGCTTCAAACATCGAGAAGACGTCTTTGAATCGTCCATCAAGCCCGATCTCATGGATGATCTTGTTTAGTTCTGCACCATACGTGTTGTGCTTCATGTACTCCGTTATTTTGTTCTCCAGGTAGTTCATGAAAGAACCTTTCAAAAGGCTATTCATGTTCTGCAACCATTCGAACTCTAAGTCACTGTTCAGATTCCCTTGAACGCAGAGGGGTTGCTGGAAGTAACAGATCTGTGTAGGACATATTCTCAACTCTCTCAAATCGTCTGCAGCGTTGCTTTTGAATTCTGAAAAAAATTCCAAGACGACTTGCTTGATCGACCAACGATGGAGGTTGTCGCATATTTCTGACATCTTACCACATCCAATGTTGGCGAGTTCGGTCGCCGCGAGGTTGCACGTCAGGGTGGATGGGAGGTTGCTCAACTTGTTCAAGTCCTCTGCAGATATCGTCTTGCTGCCGTCGGATAGAAGGACCGGAGCGACCACCTTGATCTGAGAGCTTCCCCGATCGTTGTTGTAGATCAGATAAAGAGCCGCGAGCATCTCTGCGAGCATCTTGTCTTCTCTGTCCTGTCCGAGCTCTGGCTGGATGGTGGCCAGCTCTTGGAGAGTGTTCTGGTCGTGAAGGCTCGTGAAGATAGGAACGAAGCTGAAGGAGCTCGCAAGGTCGGAGGCCCATCTTGACTTGTCGTTGTGCACACAGGCAGCCTGCATGTGATGTTGGCACTGAGAGTAGTGAGGGATGCGTTTCCACGTCATCATCTCTCCTTGAAACAGTTTGATACAGTGAAACATGTCCTGGTCGAACATGAGCTTGTGCATCTCAGCATGTATTCTTTCCTGGAAGTTGCCATCCTCCCTGCAGGACCAGAAAGTTGTGAACGACTGATAGTTTTCCAATTCCACGGTGGCCACTTGAGTCGATGAACCTGTGTCAAAATCATGATCATTTTCACTTTGACATGTCGAACAACTGCATCACCTCTTTGACTCCAGCATGGCAGGCAGACACTGAAACAGCTGTGCCGCCATGATCCGTGATTGTTTGCTGCTTCTGATTGATTCCCATACAAGTGATTGTTTGTACTGTTGACTTGATTGGGTAAATCTTGATCGACAGTAACTTCCTCTAGCTGTGGATAGATCCTGACGGGGCCATGCACAAAAGCCATAGCTACCCACTTGTTACCCAAGTGGACAGGTTACCAATGTATCCCAACGAGCCCACCGATATTGTTGAACTAGTTTCCCATTTCACAGCTGCTTAATTGTTTGAGATTGGCAGTACATTCAAGGAAATCTCTGATGTAGTCCTAAAACCAATCGTTGTTTTACACCCCCAACAAATGTTTTCTTTCATCTGTCCCCGTTTACAAATATTCACCTTTGTTTCCCCCTTATTTCTCCTCTCCTCTCCTCTCCTCTCCTCTCTCCTCCTCTCTCCT